AGCCATATACTACTTGTGTAACCAGGGTCATTTGATGCTTCAAATGGGTTCCTAATCGCATTGAAATCACAAAGGATGATCTAAGGAAGAGAAACCACCATGATCCTTCTAATTTCGTTATACAATCTCATCTTTTCATATTCAGAATTTGATGCATAAACAAAAGTTGCAACAAAAGAAATAACTCCATTCACTTGAACTTGAATGAATTGGTCAAACCAATGCTTCACAGAGACATCTTCTCCCTTCTTCCACAACAACCACACTTTACCCATACCATTTCTATCATTACCAACTTTTGACTCCCAATTAGGGATTATCTTTGCCAAAACCTTGTCTGCCTTGCTAGCTCTAATCCACGGATCTAAAATAGCTACTATTATGAATATTCTTCAGTCTAATTATTCTAAGTAAAGCTGTAAATTTACTATCATCACTAAATCCTCTAATATTCCAAGCTAAGAGATTCATCTTCTTCCTCTTCCCCTACCACCTCCCTCCCCTTTACCTCCTTTCTTCGTAACCAGGGAGTGAACTTCCTTAGCTATCTGAGGAGCCTGACTTGAAGAGCTCATAGCCCTAAGGATTGCTGACTTCCCATGATCTAGCAGTTGTGGAGGAGGGCATTGGCTCCCTGACCCACTAGGTGACCCACACACCACTTCTGCAAAAATCATAACAGTGTCCGAAGAAGAACGCAAAGAACCCAACGAATGGAGCTCGTGCTCTTGGTCAATGACGACTCGATATTTGCACATGTTTTTCCCTTTGTTTCTTGACTGTTTGAGCTTTAATTATCGCGTCTTTGGCCAATTTTACGCTAGGTTGTGTTCCTTTTTCACATTTCAGGTCCTAGCACATAAAGTGAAGCATAGGCGCAAGATTCAAGTCACTCAGAGATCAATTGGCGATTCGGGAGAAGAAATCCGGGCATGACCTGAAGAAGAATGGATTTCTACCTCACTTTATGGACAAAGAATCATGCAAGCTTGTCATGAAAAGAAAGAGGACGAGACTACGAGCATCTAGGATCAAACGGCGACTGATTCGGACTCCAGACGAGGGAGAAACGAAGCATTGAATATAGGGGAACATGTTCGGCAGTAAAAACACGGGCTGGCCTAAAGAAAAACACGGCAGTGTCCATATTTAGGCACGACCGTGTTTTTGCCGACGAGGGCTGCTGGGGGCAAAACACGGGCGGACAAAAGTAAAACACGGTCGTGTCCTCGACCGTGTTTTGCCCAGAATCGGGTTTTTTAGGCAGATTGAAGCCAAAGGAAAGGGAGAGCTGGGTTTTGGATCCCAAACACCCAAGGGATGAACCAAAGAGAGAGAGGGTGATTTGAGGGCATTCTTGGAGTGGAACTGGAGGATTTCTTTCACCTTGGAAGCTCGAGTAACAAGCCCGGACTTGAAGACTGATCATCTGAAGATTCTTACTGCAGTCTCTCTCTTCTCTATGGAGTAACTTCCCTTCACTTAGGTTTTGAGGAACCCTAGCTATGTTTGTTTGATTGGATGATTGTCTGAGTACTCTGACTTGATAACCTTGAGTTCATATTCAATCTATGCATGTTTTCATGATTCAATTCTGCTTTAGTCGAGATTATTGATTCTGCTTTGATCCTATGAGAGCGAATACCTGATTAGGTCAATAGAGCACCATAGATTGATAGTAGTGGATCGATTGCTTTAGTCGAGGGTTGATGGACTGCTTTGTATAGATTGAGAACCTCATTCGATAGAGGGAATCTAGTTCAGAACACCTTGATCGGTTGTTCTAGAGAAGGATACGTCCCTCTAGGCAATTGCTCAAGAGAGTCTTGTTCCTTTAGTCGAGACTCAAGGTCTAGTCAAGGATTCTCCGCATTGTGAATGAAAGTGAAACAAGTTAGAAATCATCAATCGTTAGTCTGGCTATTTGCTAGGGGGAATCATACCTAAGTGAGTTCCCAACTTGTAATTAGATTAACTTTAACTATAGTTTATTAGAGTAGTTTTAGTTCTTTCATCTTAATCTGATTTGCTAAATAATAAACTGAAGCTGAGTAATAGTAACTCTAGAGACCCGTGGATTCTATATTTATTACTTGAGCCACTATACTGCAGTCCCTTCCATTGCTTACACTTGGCCATTGTTAGGTGTTGTGTCATAGCGAGTCATTCAACATTTGCAAGTACATATTAAACATGTAAACTACCTTCATCGACATCCTCAATAGATCTCAATTTCAAAACATCATCATTTTCCAGAGTTCTCCACTGCCTTTTCCTTACATGTATCAAAATAGCTTAATTCCTGAACCTCCTCATACCTATCATCCAATTGGGTAGCAGACTTACCCTTTTGATGCCTACCTGACTTTTCCTTCGGAACCCATACTTTCCCATCATATCTATTACCATCACATTTATGCCCAAACACCTCTCACTTGGAACAAATAGGAGGGAGGTGATTGTATTCCACACTTACCTCAAAATCTGCCTCATCATCTGGGTACAAACGAACATAATTTGGGAAGCTGAAGTCTGCACTCATCTCCAGACAAGCCCTCGCCACACCCAGTTGTGCCTTAACCCTAGTCGATCAATCCATATGAAGCGGTACTCTAATGGTACTAACAACCCACTCCATACCCTCCAAATAATTATACTCAAGAGGAACTGAAGAATTTGATGAAGCGTAATAACAAGAACACGAGACAAACAATTTTACGTGGTATCCTCGATCGATTGATCGAGACTAATCCACGGTGAGCTCATAAGAGCTCACGACTGATCTCTTATTAGGATTACATCTTGACGGCTTGCTTACGACAATCTCGTAGCTAAGCTTATATAAAGATAGACTAGGATTAAAACCCTAATGAGAAGAGTCGAGTACGGCCACATATCCGTACCTACTACAACTCGGACAAGGCCCAATACTAACACGGTTTAAGTAACCGCAACACTCCCCCTCAAGCGAAGACATGAATGACATGAATGTCGGGCTTGAAGAAGTAAATGTGAAGAACAAGCATGATGACTTGAACCACAAAACTCGAGATGAATAACATCTCGGACAAGGTTGATTGGAGACAACTGGCTCTCTCTGAACAACCTGATGATGGAGACGATTGACTGCGTCTCTTGAACTTGAACACACTTGGTACATCGCGATCAACCTGAAGACTGGGTTAGTCGACCGGAGTATGTTGACCTCCTATTCTCCCCCTCAAGCTGGAGCATGAACATCTTGAATGCCCGGCTTGAAAAGCGATGAATAGTTGATATGTGCCCATTAATGAACCGGAAGAGGGGACGATCATTTCTTGGATCGCAAATGCCAACTGGACGATGAAGGGACGATAACTTCTCTGATCGTACTACCTTTTGAACGCCAGAGGACGACCATTTTATGAATCGTGAATGCCTCGACCGATACTTGACTATCATTGCTTACGAAAGTTCTTTATCACTCAAACAATGACAAGTGAAGGGTCAACCAAGCCTTGGATTGAAAAAGAACTTCACTGCTTCAATGCTTAAGGATTCGCTTGCCTGCAAACCAAAACATAACTGGCCAACCCGGCCACTGACGTTGCAAAAAAACAACTATAAAGCCCAAAATTTTATTGGGGCCCATTTAGGCTCTTCCCAAAAAACCTATTGAGCCCATGGCCATTTCGACAACCTTCTGCCTCTCCCGAACGCCCCACCTTCTCACCCGCAACACTCTTCTCTAGAGAAGCAAACGGCGGAGGCGTTGGCCGAACGACGAGAGCTCGGAGATGGAGTGATGGTGGCCGTGTTTGATGGCGACAATGACACGGAGGATGATGACGGGCGAGACGTTTGATGGCGGATCTAGGGATCTCTACTTTCCGGCAACGATAGCGACGGCGACTGGCGTGTGGCGATGCACGGACAACAAGGAATTTTCCCTCCAGTTTTCAAGCTTGACTCTTCGTCGGACTTGAGGAAGCAGCTCAAAACGGAGCATCGTTGTTGACGCCAACTTGGATCCTGAACAAACCTTCTAGCCGTCGTTCCTCTCAGCATCCTCGTCGTCTGGCCACTGGCGATGATGACGGCCAATAGTGACAAGGACGACGATCTATTACAAGAGCACCCTCAAACGAAAGCCAACTCATGGGCTTGAAGTTTGCACAGGCCCACCATACCATGTTCTTTAATCAACTGTTAATATTGTGAGTCGTGGAGATTCGAACACACGACCACTTGGCCAAACCAGCTCTGATACCATGTCATAAACCAGTTGGTCCCAATAATTTGAGTTATTGGGACCAACTGGTTTATGACAGGAATCCCTGAGAAGCGAACCCATATTGGAAGGGTTTCCACCTTTGGCTCGATCGGCTGAATGACCAGGATCCACTGGCTGAAAAAATAGGGTTTCCCTGAAAGTGCCAAGGCCGCGACTTGAAAACTCGTTTGCTTGTACCCCATGCTGGAGACTAAAATACCAACAACCTTGATCCAAATCTAGAGACCCGGATCGAGCCTTCTCTTCCCCATAGACGATATACCCAACTCTGGGGGGACAATGAATCTCACCCACGAACTGGCCGATTAGGCTGTTCTTCCAACGAGCTGCCCCCTTTTCCTTTACCTCTTTAGGAATACGAAACCCATCCTTGTTACCCGAAAAATAATCCAAGTAAGACATACTTTCATGTGATTAAACTGTATGTAAAAAATAACCAACCTTACAAAATTTATGTGATTCAAATTAATGAAAACGTCAACAATATAGTTAATGAAATTTTCATTCAAACTTATATCATGAAAGACTCGGGTAATATGTTTGTTTAATTGATACATAAAGTTATTATTCATCCACAAAATTTACGAATTGTCTTAGTTATTAAGACTTATGTTGTACGTATTGTTTAATTGATACATAAAGAATAACTATCTCTTTATAATATTTACGTAATGTATTCATTTACATAACTGCTATAAAATGACTTAAACTAACTACCCCATTTTGAGCCAAAATAACTCAAGATTGCATTGCTAGTACAGCTACTTACCAAGGTTGTATTCCGAGGGCCCTCGGTATCCTATGGTACATTTCAAGCGGTTGTTATCAAGTCAATAAAGTTTTGATTGGTTGGATGACAATTGGTAAAAACTGATAACGAAAGCATAAATGAGAAAGCAGGTACCTGGAGCACCGCCCTCGCCTTAGTTAATATGTATGTCATGCAAAAGGATAGAATAGCCAGTTTAAGGAGAATGAAGTGTGGGAATCACTAATATGAGAATTAGCTCAATGGTCATGCAACTAAACCCCTCCTAATTTGATCCACTAACCCAATCTCACCTCAATCAAATTCACGAATTAGGGACACACTCTATTGCTTTCAATGGGTTGCACCTATTTTCACACTAGGTCGATATATATGTCGATGGTCATGAAAGTATCTCCCTAGCATCACATATGTGGGAGCCCTAGTTTGCATGGGATGATCACCTTGTCCGCCAACTAGGTCTCTCAATCAATCATCTACAAAAATCATGCCAAGATCGCTCAATTCATAAACACCTTCAATCAAATCCTAATTAGAAAATCATAGATAACACATGGAGAGACAAATTCAAAACTCACTAATCATAAATAGATGCATAAAAATACTAGGTAAACACATCCCATTCATGAACTTAAGCAAAATTCCTCTTACATAACAAAACCTAACACTAGGGTTCGAGGCCCAAAGCCCCTAGTACATTGAGTGAGTACCCAATAAAGGGAGGACGAAAAAACATAGAAGAATAGAATTGGCAGACTTCTTTGGGAAAATCCTTCCTTCTTAGATCCTTCCTCTTCTCTTTTATTCTCTTCGTCTCATTCCTTCAGTTTTTCTCTCTTAACTCTCTCTAAAACTAAGAAAATTGACCAAGTGTTTAATCTCCTCTACAATGGAGGAGAAGTCCTCTATTTATAGTTTTCAGAAAACGAAAATAGGTTTATGGCCAAAGGCTCAAATATCCGTCTGTGATCTTCAATGTAGAGGTCGCGATCTTGAGACGGTGGCATTCTGATTCTGCTGGCTAGGGAGATCGCAGGTTGACTTCTTGATCACGATTCAAAAGTCAGCTGTGATCATTACCGCAGTCCCTAACGAGGAAGGTTGCCAGTCGACTGCCGAAGCCTTGTGTTCTTCCTTGGTTGTCGCTTCTCCAAGTTCACAGTTGAAATCTCCAAGCTCGCAGTCTCTATCTTTCTTCAGAGGCCGTGATCTTTGGTTGAAGTTCACGGTTTCCTCTTCTCGGCCGTGATCTTCCTGTTTAGCTCCAAATCCTACACTTTTCCTATTTTGGTGCCTAGAATGCAAGTATCATCGAGTGCACCCTAATACAACATGAAATGCTCCGAGTAACGAATTTGGGATGCAAATGAAAATATATTAACCATGAAAATCAAAGAACGGCATGAAAATACATAGACTATGGAGGCTAAGTAACACATATTTGGGTGTAATCAGTGTGGTGTAATAATAAAATGAAGTTATGAAAAGTATCACTTTAGGTTAAATAATAATGGAAAAGTTAGCTTACCTTGTAGAACTTTTGCGTAATGCAAATTGATAACATAATGAACAATGTAGTTATTTATATGTTTTACACAATGTATTTTAAATAAGTAAATCTTTCATAATGTGGAATGCAAAAAGTGTCGAGATAGATGTCTAAAGCTAAAAATATTATGGTGAAATTCAGCATAGTAAGATAGAAAACAAAATTTCCCTTAACAACTAACTGTGAGCAAAAGAGTTTATAGTAAATTATTCTGTAGAGTATTTACAAATTCTAAAAAAAGGAAACAAATTTAGGGAGTTATTATTTGTCTCCCTAAAGATTTGAATTTATCGCCCTAGAACATATGAAATTAATTACGAGTTAATTTTATGGTTAAAAACCCTTCAATTTAATAGTCGAGCCACCCATCACCTGTTGAGTCACCCGTACTTCGTCGAGCATCCGTTGAATTAATTCCGCAAAGGAAACAGAATGGATGCCACCACCACTCAGTTCCCCAAACTAATTCCTCCCGGGGGGTTGAAAACTTGTCGATGGTAGGGTAGAGGTCAAACACTCGCCTCTACCCCGTCGGCAAAGTGTTTTAACTTGCATCGTCACTGTTAAACAAATAAGAAAAACCAAAGAACTTCATTTGTTAACGACCTTCCTCCTCCTTCATGGTGGGACGACGATGAGCGGCAGGGTCGAAGACGACGACTTCTCGATGGTGGTGTTGGTTTGGTTCTCAGCGGCGATGCTGGTTTGAACTTGGCTGCGACATTGTGTGTGTTGGGGAGAGGGGAAGGGACTTGTGTGTGCTGGGGAGAGAAGAAGGACTGGTTAGTTGGGCTAGTCAATAAGGGTTTAGGTTGCAGGCAAAATCGTCTGTGTGGGTAGGTTTAGGGCGAAAATATCAAATACTTAGAGCGTTAATATTTTTTTACTGGAAATATGTGAATTTTATTATTCAGCAACCACATTTACATTATCTTATAGCAACTGATCAACAAGATAAACTGGCGTTCTGTCGAACCAAACCATTGCCCGCAGCTCAACTTCCTAAGTTTGTCTCCATTACTGCGACACACTATAACCATCTCTGTATGAATCCCATCGGCCTGATGCAATTGCTAAACCAACGTAGAGCAATCCACTTCCAGGGTAAACTTCGGTTCGGCACACTATTGCGCTAGGCTCACCCCTATTTCTACTGCAAGGGCTTATGCTAATCCTGCATTCATATTGCCACGAATGTTCCTTGCCGCTGCAAGGATGAACCTTCATCCTTCCCTTGTATCACAACCCCAATACCAGTCCCCTCATCCTTTAAAGTCCCCGCATCAGTATTGATTTTAATCTCACATTGTCTCCTCTATTCGTAAAGCAGTCTCTTAGGTTGGAGGCTCTCCACAGTCAAGACACCCATTCGCACTCCCAAAACAGATGGATTTGAGTTTCACGCGACTCATAGAATGGGCACTTCCACTCCGCATCTTACTGCGAGGACAGACATCATCCCCTGTTGGTAATGCATCCCCCGCAACTTGCATTTAACAGAGGTTTGACACAACTTGCATTTCAAGAATCCCCCACCCAGTAGTCCACTTCTGGTGCAGCTTCACATTCTCACTGAAAGAAACTTCAGACTTCTGAAAATTCACCAACTGACCTGACTCTTTTTCATAGCCCTTAAGATTATTTTTCAAGGCTAGGCTTTCCCGCTCCGTTACGCTGCAAAAGAACACACTAACCTTAGCAAAAAAAAACATGTGCGAGATGGCTAGGGCGCCCTGGGAAGGCTCCAATCCTCTCATTTTCTTCTCCTGGACAGCATTCTTCGTGGCTACAGACAACCCTTTCGCATCAATCAGGAATAAGTATTGTGCTAGAAGGTCACGTTGCTGATAGACCGTTAATTGCACATGTTTTTACCCCTATTCTTGAGCCGTTTTGAGATGTTGATTCTCGTGTTTTAGGCCAATTTCACGCTAGGTTGTTCTTGTTTGTGATATTTCAGGTCCTAGTATGTGAATGAAGGTTTAGGAACGAGTTCGGGGTCGATTGGACGAAGATTGGACGTTTGGCGAGAAGCTGAGGAACTCACACAGGCACGCCTAAAATTCCACACGGCCTTGTGACTTGGCCGTGTGGCACCACTTTGCTTGGGAAAATCGCACTGGCCGTGTATGGCATCCCTTGTGACCGTATGGAAAGTCCAGGGAGTTCACACGGCCAGACTGGAAATCCACACGTCCGTGTGCTTCTGGCCGTGCTGCGTGCCTGAAGTCCACTAATCAAAACGTGGTGTTTCCATTCTCACACGGGCAAACTGGAAAGCCACACGGCCGTGTGGCCTGGCCGTTTGGTCGGGAAATTCTGGGTTTTTAACCCAATTTCGAGCCAAAAGAGGGGGAACCGAGTTTTAGAGAGACAAAGCGTATACCTAGAGAGAGAAAGTGACGAACCTGATTCTCCAGGTGCCTGAGATCGATCTCCATCACCATTGGAGCCCGGCTTGAGCTTGGAGAAGAGCTTATTGAGTGCCAGAAGCAGAATCTCATCCTTCACAGTATGGTTTCCGCGTCTGAGCTAGATTTCCCATCTCTCTCTATGGAGTAACTTTCTTATTCACTTGGGTATGAAGAAACCTAGATTTGTATGTTAGGTCTGCTTGTATGAACCCAAGTACGGATTCAGTGATATGATTATATTCAATTGAGGTTTGATTTGTTGAATGGCATGAATCCTGATCAAATTCCTGTTGTTTCTGCTTTAACCTAGAAAGAGAATATCTGCCTAGGTTGATAGAGCACCCTTGATTGAAGGTAGTGAATTGACGACTTTAGTCGAGAAGTCAATTCACTATTCTGTACCGGATTTACTTCGGTAGTGGAGGTTTGGTTCGTTAGGGCCTCAATCTGTTTACTCCGGTGGAGGTTAGTCGCCCGCTGGGGACTCAGATTGAGAGGGTCTGGAGACCTTTAGTCGAGACTGCATACTGTTTAAGAACCTCCCGCAGTATAACTATCATTGAAATTGAACTTGGTAAATTACAATCCGGCTTAACTACAGTCTAGGGGGAACCATATATGGGTGACCTCTCTCAACTTGAAAACAACCTTTAACTGCTTTGCTTATTTGCTTGTTTGGACCTTCACTACACTTTCACTGCTAAATAATAAGAACTCACGGAGTAGTCATCACACTTAGGACTCGGGTTGACATTAAAACCCAAACCCGCTATACTACGCTTTACGAGGTGGTTACACTTGGCCATTTTCTAGAGTGACGGTAGGAGCGAGTCAAGTTTTTAGCGCCATTGTCGGGGACAGCTAGGTTGTTGAAGAAACGTGGTTTCTGTTAATTTAGTTTTCTTTGGGTTAATATTTTTGTATGGCTTGAACTTTGACCAAAATAAAAATCCTGGCCAATCTTTTCGATCTATAACATCCTGGCCCGAACTATACGCCAAAATAAACAATTTGGCCAAACCCGATGTTTGACCGTTAACTTGGAAGGTGGTCAACGCGCCACATCACTGCCAAGTCAGAAGATCTGATAAAGATTTAATTTTTTTGTTTTTTATTTTTAGTTTAACTAAGGTATTAGAAGATTTTTTTTAATTTATAATAATTTAAAATTAGGGAATGTGTGGAAATTGTCAATTATTTTAAATATTTTATGCTGACTTGGCAGTGGCATGGCGCGTTGACTAACGGTCAACGCGTTTGACCGTCCAAGTTAACGGTCAAAAGTCGGATCTGGCCAAATTGTTTATTTTGGTGTATAGTTCGGGCCAGGATGTTGTAGATCGAATAGATTGGCCAGGGTGTTTATTTTGGTCAAAGTTCAAGCCATACGAAAATATTAACCCTTTTTCTTTTTAGCATTCTTTTTTTGCTTTGTCACACTTGTGCCTTCACGGGTTTGTTGTTTGACTGTGTGCAGGTAGTGTATAACCCGTAGCCAGTCAGGAGGTTTACTATCGTTGGATCCGGAGCTTGAACGCACCTGTCGCCAACTTAGGAGACAACAGCGAGCTAGACTAGCTACGGAGGAGCGCATAAACGGCCACTTGAGCAGCGATTCCGAGGACGAGTACGAGATGGAAGGTGAACATAACCCGCCCCAGGGGATACCTCTCCAGGTTCCCCCGGTAAACCAGATCCTGGGGAACAACCCAATACCCCAGGCAGATGGGGTTCATCATCAACCACCACCACCGGGTCCCACCTTGCAGTACTACTACACTCCACGGGTCGCTGATATCCGCCCTGTTATCCTCTATCCACCCATCCCAGAGAACAACTTCGAGATCAAGCCGTGTTGGATTCAACTCATTAAATCCTCTATCCAGTTTCATGACTTGAAGGATGAGGAGGCAATGGTGCATCTTTCCCGGTTCCTGCAGCTGACGAACGGGTTCAAGATGAATGGTGTACCCGATGATGCAATCCTCCTTCACCTCTTCCCCCATTCTCTAGAGGGGCATGCTAAGAGGTGGTTAGAGACCCAACCCCCATTGTCCATCACTTCTTGGGACGATCTGGGCAACAAGTTCGTGCACAGGTACTATCCGGCATCGAAGGCCACAGATATCCAGCGAGAGATCACTCACATTGTCCATTGTCCATCACTTCTTGAAGAATCCCTTTATAATAGTTAACAAAGCAAGATGAGATCTCCTCATGTGACGCGATCATTCTCCCATTCTCTCGTTGAACCCTTCAAATTGTGTTACGTTTCTTTCTTGCCGATGCTTTCTTATGGAAAAATCCGGTATTCTTGTCTCCATCCCATAACCAATCCGCCCTCAATCTCTGTTTCCGGTAAATCTCCTCCATATCTTCCAACTCCTCCAACTCTTTCTCGACCTGCTGAGACTGTTGAAAAGCTTGTCTTGATTTTGGTGCACGATCAAGCGCGCACAAAGCTCTTCTTATTGTTATGCTGCTTGGAAAATCTTGGAAACTCAGTCTGGCTCTAATCCACAAGCCGTTGGTGAACTATCCCAAGCTTCTCAACACCTCACCGCTTTCCGTACTGCCCCATGCCTCTTCTATAATCTTCTCGCATTATTCATGTTTCGTATACATTGGCTCGAACTGGAAACGCCATCGCCATTGCGGATCCAATCCAAATCTTCGTCACCATGCGTGTCACATACTATCGGTCGATGATCCGATCTTGCATTGTCAAGATGAAGTACCCGTCCTTTGCCAAAAAAATTCCTACCTTTCGACGGAGGCAATAAATCAATATAGCCTCTCTTCAATATAACCTTCCACTGCCCACTTGTTGTTTCATGTAAAGTCGTATCCAACGTAGCCTAGATCATTAAGCTACGTGTCTAATAGGCAATCATTAAAATTTGTCATATCCTCATCTACCGGCTGTCTGCCACCATATTTCTCATTAGCTCTGCGGATTTGGTTGAAGTATGCTCCACATAGCCAGGACCCATCCCACCATGCCGCTAATCTACGCATCAGTTCACATGTTAGCCCCCTCTCGCTACTCTCATGCCACCCATATATGCATGAGAATCTCCAAACCTCCCCCTATTCTTTCACAATCTTCAGAATAATATAGTGGAAGGAGGATGACATACCCTCAACATCAATATCTTTTCTCTACCAAACACACAAACCCCCTGCCCTTCTTCCCCCACTACTATCCATTGGCCAATTATCACCATGCTCAAATTCCAATCCCTTCCATAACTGTTTGTTCTCTTCTGAAGTTTGTTTGGTCTCCATCAGGAAAACCCTCAGTAGTCTCATTTATGATCCGAAGGGGAAAGGTTCCCGCACCTTTTGTCGGACTTTTACTCACGAAATTGCAAACTGATACTTGCACTATCGATGATCTTTTTTCCCCTCTAAACCTTGACCTTCTTTCGATTTGGTCTTCTTTTCTCTCCCGCCACCCTCATTATTCAGGGTTTGGCCGTGCTTTGTCACATTGTCTTGGACCTTTGTATTGTTCCCAACATTGATGCTACTGTTCTTTTTTCCTCCATGAGTTTGGTCCCGCACCTCTCCTTCTTTAACGTTATTTACACCTCCGTTTCCCTTCCCTTCTGGCTTCTTCACACATGTTTCCTTCTTAATCCATTCTTTCTCCTCGCATTATATGTTCTTTATTTGCCCGCTCCCCTACTCTTCTCACCTTCTTATTGTTTCCAATGTTGTTCAAACCGAGTTGGACTATGAACCGATATGGTGAATGATTCACACTTTATTGGTCTAACCGGATTAATTAAAAACCGTTAATGAACCGGTACCTCATAAATATTAATTTTACAAGTAATAAATAATTACACTATAAATGAAAATGAAAATTAATTTTACCAAAACTTGGCAGAATCTTCGTGGCCAACTCGGATCCATCCAACCTTGACCCAAACTAATTCCCAGACACCATAGTTGTTGTTCCCGCATAGTTGTTTTCATCACCAACCAGTTCTGTTTTTTTTTTTTTTTACCATAGCCGATTTTTATATTATTATTCTTCTCTATTGCGGCCGGTTGTGCGGCCTCGCACTCGGAGCACTATTTCACGTCCAAACAGTCCTCATTTTGATTTTTTTTTAACTGTGCTGTTTTGGCTGCACACTCTCTCCCTTCTTTTTTTTATTTTTTTATTCTAACAATGCTGCTCTTCTCAACAGACCAGGCGGCACTCTTCCCGCAAAGCTGCAGATAAGTGGCCTGAGTTTTTTTTTTCTTTTCTCAAATAAAAACTAAAGAGTATTTATTCATTTTTCTACTCCTTCTTCCAAGTGCAGGATAACCCCAAGGGGTTGCGGATTTTTTTCTACCAACTGGGCCCCTCCCTTCACCACCCCCGCGGCATAGTCGTTTTAGGCCAATAAACAACACTGTTTTTCCCTTTCAACTGCGCTATTTTTTTATTCAACAACATTGTTTTGACAGAAATTTTTTTCCCACGGCCGCAAAGGTACTTCGTCCAAAACAGCACTGAATTTTCTTTCTTTCATCGGCCTCTGTTTTGGCCAAAATGAATTGCCACGAAGTTGTACGGCAACAAACACCATTGTTTTCCGATAAACACTAGCGTTTTGCTACAAAGATTTCTCTTTTCCTGTCATTATTATTATTATTTCTTTTTTTAACACAATGACAAAGAGGGAAAAGCCAACGCACTGTTTCTTGCTCCTCTTTACATCCAAAATCAACTACCTTGCTGACGGCCGTAGCGTTGGGAGAAGATTAGTGAAAAATCATCAAAGGACAAGAGTTGGTAAAATAAACAACGATGTTCTCTATATATTTACTAGCGTGGGCCCCGGCCATTTGGCCGGAAGAAGGTGAGGTATGGAATTTGATAATGTAATGGGGTGTATAGCTTATTGTTGTATAGTTTTTTTTGGAAACACATGATAAAAATAGTGAATTTTAGTAGAAAATAGACATGAATGATGCAACGAATCAAAAATCAGTCTTATGAACCAAAATCAAGTACCTGTTACCTTGTGAAACAATATTGTTTCTGGTAATATGATGAGGTGGAATAAGTTTTATAGAAATCGAATTCCAGAAAATCGAATAAAAAATCGCCTATCCCGCCGGTTTTCGGGAAATGAGCATCTCACAATCGTTGCTAGCTTTTACTCGGCCGGTTGGCCGATTAATTTGCTTTATAAAAGTTTCATCTTGTCATCATTGTGCTTTCTGGTTTTTTGCCAAGCCATGATAAAATCTAAAGAAATCAAGAATGAACAACACGATTTGGGATACGAACCACCGTTCTTGTATCCCTAGAAAATGGTGGTAAACACGGACTCACCTGCCAAACTGGTTTGGATTGAGATTTTTATCGGGTATCAGGGAACCATGTGATTATAAATTAGACTTGATCAAAACGGGTATAAACTTGAAATTCAGCCTGTTTGACCGACCCATGCCAAACTCTAATTCTTCTTTACTTTTAAACTTTATATTTGAAAATAAAAAATAATGAAAGGAAAGAGATGACTGGAGCTCGCCATTTTCACATCACTGATTCGGGAATAAAACTATAGAATTTCAAAAGGAAACTGAAAATGTTTAGGATCGTTTTAATGTTAAAAATAACCAAATAGATCTTTCTGTTTAGTTTTTTACTAACAAATACCAAACGATTCCCTATAATATACACTATAATTTAATCATTATGATATCAAATAATTACATAATATATATTTGAAATTATAAAAATTGGACTAGTTGGGTTGATCGAGGTTGAACCATTGAATAACTTTAAATACATTATATTTTAGCCACTAAGATATAAAATAATAGCATAATATATATTATGCTAGAGAAAATAGCTTGTTTTAGAATGACAAACCCATGATGTTCATTTGTTTTACTTGATGGGCAAATCCCGTGTAGGTCAGGCTCATTCATCTCTTTTATTTTATGATTAGCGGTTAGCCCATTAGAATCCATGCATTAGTTTATTGTTAAATTTTTTCTTTTTAGCAATAAAAGGAGTATTTTTTTTGCCCTTTCATATATATTTTACCACCACGGAGAAATAAAAGTATTTAAAGAAAAAAATTGACACTCCTGGACCCGTTTAAATCCGCATGTGTACGGTAAGTTGGCCCGTTCCACAGAGGAAAAAGAAAGAAATTGACACTCCCTATTCTACCTTTCCTACAAACGCTCCTAGAGCAAGGAATTTGAAATGGGGGAAGGGTTTTTTCATCTCTGCGATTATATGTTTTTAATTTTAAAAAATACAACAAATGTACTTAGTGTGATTGGTTATGATCTTTGTTTTTCTTTAAAGTGGTCATGGTTCGAATCCTAGTAAGTGTATTTTTAATGAATAAAAAAAAATTAATTGTGAAGACCATAATGTCCTTCCTACTTTCACTCTGGATGCAGGAAATTTGAAATGGGGCTTCAAGTTTTCTCATTTGGCTTTTATTTATTGGGTAGATTTATAACATATCGGCCCAATTTCATAACCGAAGTCTAGGACAAAACACCATTGTTTACCTCCTCCGCGAAATTGTTCTCCCTGCAAAAATAACTTCGTTTCTTTTTCGGCCACATATTTTATTATTTTTGGCCAAAATTTGCTCTCTTTTTTTTCGGCATTGAGACCAAGACAACATTGTTCAAAGGAGAAACCAAAGCGACGTCGCTGCCCCACTCTTCCATCGTGGCTCGGAGCAAATTGACCATAATTGGCCCTTCTTCCCTTTTTTTTTAAACAACCTTGCTTTCCCCTCCAACTTCAAAGAGTTGGCTTAAACGTCTATCAACACGAGACTCAACAGAATCATGTCGTGCAGTTAACGCGTCAAAACAATAATTTACCTCGCCTTTGAAGCTTGCAAATTCGCCTTTGAAGCCTGCGAACTCATTGTTGAGGCTAGCAAACATTGCAACTGTTTTCCTCCATGAAATGGCGGATTGACAATTCCTCAGTCGGCCCAGCTGTGGACGGCGGATTCTCGGACCCGCCGATGTCTTCAACACCGATTCCAATGCCTCCTTCAATGTTGGCCACATGTTCCTCCACGAATCCGGGCGGAACATCCCCTTCCTGATTCCTTCGTCGCGGAGCCATTCGAAAACACGCGTCCCACCAGGTGTGCCAATTTGTTTCGTTGGCGAAACTCGCGTGTTCAATGGGCACTGTTTTTAAGTAAACACAAACACAACGTCAACACAATCGTCAAATATCCGCCGCCGAATGTCGGCGCCGTTGATTTGATTGATTAAACATAAATCAAGACGACCGTTAAATATCCACCTCCGACGTCGGCGATGTTGATTTGATCGATGCACCTTTGACTTCTAACCAAGACAACCGTTACTCGGTTCACCACCTCTCCAAACTACGTTCGAACGAGGGTGTTCAACGAGAAACCAAACCGGGAGTGTTCTAAGTTACGTTACCTCTACTCCTATGGAGGTTCCTCTGGAGAGCTCTGCGACTACTACTACAAGCTACGATCTACGACTCTGCAAATGAGTTCTTTGACAAAGCGGTTCTACGAAACTAGAGAGAAAAAGGTAAGTCTGCGACGGTGCAGTTTGAGATTTGATTTTGCCGTCATGAGCTTCTCTCTCTTCCCGATATTTATACTTTGCTCTTGTCCCCGCAGTCGTAGTAACTGCCTTCGCGCCTTTGTCTCCCACGTTCTTCATTCTTGCCAACCGTGCGGGTAACTTCTTCCTTGTTGCGTAACTCCCACGAGTGCGAAACTGCTCTGCTACGCAGCACCTTGGCAAAACGACATTGAGCCACCCTTGTAGTTATCCACCCGGGTTCGATAACCCATCCCCGACTCCTCAAGCCAAACTACATTCATCCTTATTCATAAAACGGCGGCGTATCACAAACAACACCGCAACGCTGAGCTCCCAGCCTTGCAACATCGATGCACTCACAACGTCAATGCCACTTTTGATGGTGATTCATGGCTTACAACATAGCTCTCTAAAAAACGTAGCTCTTAGTATCTCGGCATTGTCAAATTCCCACCATTGATGTCCAACTTTATTGAATTCACGGTGTTGTTGAGTTTCTCAACACTGAACTAAAGCTCATCAACGTCGTGGAGCTCGCGACCTTGTTTTGGGCAAAACAACATCACTTTCACGACATTATTAAACTCTTGCAACATTGTCTTTGACTAAACAATGTCGTTTCTTTCCTAGTACCGCAGTGTTGTTTTTACCTTCCGCGGCGTCGTATTCAACTAAACGACACCATCTAAAATAATTATAAAATACTAATTAATTAAACCAGCCCTCATGTTAACTCGCCATCAAACTATCGTCCTCGGCGCCGTGTTCTTAGTTAAACATGATCGTTTTCTAGTCCCGCGATGTCGTTGAGCTTTGAGCTTCGCGACATTGTTTTAAATTTAACACTGTCGTTTGCTAATACAGCGGTATCGTTGGGCTTACTCGCGGTATCAAATTCTAATCCGCGGTGTCGTTTTTTTCCTCTTGCGGCATCGTTTTCAACTAAACGACACCGTCCTAAATAATCATTAAAAATATTAATTAATTAATCTGGACATCACTAGTCAAACTCGTGTGTTGACCAACGGCATCATTAGCGCCAAAACGGCTCTGTTTACTTTTCCTCGCGATATTGTTTAAATATTTTCAACACTGTCGTTTGCTAGCACAGCGATACCATTGGGCCTACCCGCGGTACCGTTTTGAATTAAACCACACCGCCTAACATAATAAAAAGAAACACCAACGTACTAAATTGTCGCGATTTTGCACGTTTGGGCTGGGCGGATTTTTGGGCCAATCACTTACCCGATATGGTTTTTAATTAATCGGCACCGCTGATCAAGGTCTCTCGCGGCATCGTTTTTAAATCCGCGGTACCGTTTTACTTCTCCGCGATGCCGTTTGTCTCTATGCGGTACCGCTTCTCCCCTACCGACAAGCAATAATAATAATAATAATAATAATAATAATAATAATAATAATAATAATAATAATAAAAATCAAAATCAAAATCAAAATCAAAACTTCTTTTCCAACACCAATACCAAACGCGCGGCCCACGTCTTTCTTCCCGGTAAACGGTGTCATTTCCAGTGCCGCGGTTCCGCGAGCCTCCTTGCGGTACCGTTTTAACTCTTCGCGGTGCTGCTTGTCTCCATGCGGTACCGCTTCTTCCCTCCCACAAATAATAAAAAAAAAATAATAATAACTCCTTTTCCAACACCAATACTATGCGCGCGGCCCACATTATGTTTTCTGGTAAACAGTGTCGTTTTCAGGGCCGCGATACCGATGAGCTTCCTTGCGGTACTGTTTTTCTGTTTCGCGGTATCGTTTTAACTCTCCGCGATGCCGCTTGTCTCTATGCGAAACCGTTTTTTACCCGCGGTATCGATTTAAATGCCGAACTAATTAATGCGGGGCATTTAATTCTGGCCAAATTAATTTTAGGTGTCAACAGGAATACTGTCATTATTTTTTACTTTTTAGTAAAGAATAGTAATTTTAACTTGCAATTCTATAATAATAATAATTTTTGTTACAATATATCCCACCCGTTTTTACAATTCTCGAGCTTTTGTCCGTTGGGATTCCATTTCTCGCATCCTTACGTCACTCCAAGCATGTAAATTATGAAAGTTGTGGAAATATATTATTCCATTTCAGGAAGAAAATAAAATTTCCAGTCTCAACAGTCGACCACAGCATTAAACCGTAGGTGTCCACCCCAACTACCATGCATCTCTCTCTCGCCTCGCCAGCCAGCAGCCCAGCATTCAATCCGCAACTGCCCCACTCCTCTCTCTTCTCTGCCTCTGGCAGCTGTGAGAGTTAAGGTAATCGGAATACATCACATCTTCAAGCTCTAGCTCCCTCCCTGGTCTCCTCTACACCTTACGCTCAATGCACATGGCTATATATCCACAATGGAGAAGGAAACATATACATGAGAATAACATATCATTTCTTTCGGCTTAGCAAAATAGATATTTCCAATCAAATTGAACAAAACAAAAGGTCAAAAATTCATAATTTTAGAAGCTCCAATATTAATTGTCGCCCTCTCCCGTCCCGTATATATATATAGGGGAAAAGTTGGTGAGAAGGACAGGACCGAAAAGAGGGTGGGGTGGTGGATGGACCGATAGAAATAAGTCTGCGCTAGCTAGCTTCCGGCCCTGGATCATCTAGCCTAGACTACAAGCGATGAAGAGAGAAGACAGTAATAATACTGCCGACATGCTTATAAGTTGCAGCAGCAGCAGCAATCAGGAACCGCCAAAGACGAACAACAACAACAACAACGCCAACGATATCATCATGCTGTCCTCCTCCTGTAACACTACTACTAGTACGTACCAAGACCGTCTCAAACAAGCAAGCTCCGAAGAAAAGGAGAAGCAGCTCCGCAGAAGCGACGTTGACGATGGCAACGAGGTGGAGAGAACCAAACTGAGCCTGTTGAGATACCTGGCCGAACGCCAGGATCCATCTTCCAAGGTAATCATGATCGTCAATCGTTCAATTATCTCTTCTTTCAACGTGGGTGACTGATCAGAGCATCTATCTCTGATACAGGAAGTGGACGATGCGACGCTGAGAAGGTTTCTGCGAGCGAGGGATTTGGATGTGGAGAAAGCAGCGGCCATGTTTGTCAAGTACCTCAAGTGGAGGGCTGCGTTTGTGCCCAAAGGCTACATCTCCACCTCAGAGATCGGCAACGAGATGGAGCAGAACAAGATGTTCCTCCAAGGGACTGACCGCCAAGGCCGCCCCGTCGCCCTCGTTTTCGGAGCTCGCCATTTCCAGAACAAGATCGGCGGCCTCGACGAGTTCAAGCGTACGCCCCCTACGCTCTACACGTTTCTCTAATTATATTACTTACTTACTACTAATAATAATTACCATCTAATCTTAATTGTTCATGCAGGTTATATAGTTTATGCTTTCGACAAACTCTTCGCCAGGTAAATCTACTTTTCTGTCTACTTATTCAGGAAAAGTGATCATTGGTTATTTTGCTTATTATTAAAATGAAATAAATATATACACACATGTCGATCGGCCTGCAGGATGGGTGGAGGACAGGAGAAATTTGTGGTGATCGGAGATCTTGAAGGTTGGGGGTATGCAAACTCTGACATTCGTGGATATCTCGCCGCTTTGAACATTCTGCAGGTCAAATATCCTACAATTAACTTCATATTTACTCTCAGCTCCCACCTGCCTTTCTTTCTGCCAATGCCAAACAGCAATCCTAAAAGAACAAGTTTTACTCTTACCGTACAAGTCATAGCTCCATAATATATGCATATGTATTTCAGGATTACTATCCGGAAAGGCTGGGGAAGTTGTTCATAGTACACGTCCCGTACGTTTTCATGGCAGTTTGGAAAGTTGTCTGTCCTTTCATCGACACCAACACCCGCAAGAAGGTAACTCTTCGCTGTGTGCTGGCCTTTGCCCACATCCGCCATTACTGTGCTAGTAAGTTGTTGAAGATTTTGAACCAACCAGCTTCTGAGTTCCCCACTCCACCTCTCGCGCAGATTGTATTTGTGGAGAACAAGAATCTGAAATCCACACTTCTTGAGGACATCGACGAGAGCCAGATCCCAGATATCTACGGCGGCAAAATGCCTCTAGTTCCCATCCATGAGACCTGAAATTACAGCAACCTTCATTCTCAGGTCTTCGACCTCGTGCATCTTAGTTATTACAGTTACTTTCCCGTTGTCTAAATATGTATCCCAGTTCTGATAATAAAGTTGCAGTACCAAACAAATCAAACATTGTAGCTGGTAAATGCGGAGCCACCCTGCAAATCTTGAACAATGTTGATATTGTTGTCTATTCCCCTTCAATGCTTCTTCTGGTTTTCCTTCCCCTTCTGGAACAATAGCATTCATTCCATGCACTCATGCTTGCTTGCCGACTTCAATGAGATTTACAAACTGCAAACGTTCTTCAAGTGGACAACAATGTTTGCACCAGAGTGATCACCAAAACCAGAATGGTTCAAGTAAGATTAAGTTAGCTCAACCTCCTTGCGGAGCCACCTTGCAAATCTTGAACAATGTTGATATTGTTGTCTATTCCCCTTCAATGCTTCTTCTGGTTTTCCTTCCCCTTCTGGAACAATAGCATTCATTCCATGCAATCATGCTTGCTTGCCGACTTCAATGAGATTTACAAACTGCAAACGTTCTTCAAGTGCGCAACAATGTTTGCACCAGAGTGATCACCAAAACCAGAATGGTTCAAGTAAGATTAAGTTAGCTCAACCTCCTTGCCCTTTACATCTTCCTCTATGGATGTCACAGCTTAAACTAGGGACCCAGAAATTTATATATCTTTAGCCTACTTTTAATATCAGAGGGCTTTAATCCCATTGCTGACTTTGTTAACCTGATAAACTGATGATGCTAGCTAGTTAATTTAATTACCCGCTAAAGGGGCCCAAATCGTCAAAGTTTGACCTCGGAGGATGAGCTAAAATGGCGGGCAATGAGAAACAACAACCTCAAGCCAACCCATGTTAAAAATTAGCTTTCCCCTAAAAACTTGGGGAGGAATCACTTTAATTACCAATAGTCTCCACAAGAACACAAACCACCTTCAAACCTGTGAAACCGAATCCGATCTCTCACAAGAATCACCCGGTTTAACATCCTTGATACCAAACTAAACCAATTGTGACAATCGTCGCAGATTCGGAGATTCTTTGAGATTCTGATTTCTGTACCAGGACCAGTCTTGAGAATCCCAAATGCCAAAGCCAACTTCTCACTGTGATAACAAAGATTCTCCTCCTTTTCCTCTTCCGAAACATCCATCATGACCAACTCTCTCTTCGGGACGAAGCCTTCCGCCTTTGCCCTCTCAATCAGCCCTCCAAGAACTTTGTATATTGGTTCTGTCTCAGGATGAGATCGATCGCCAGATTTGAATCGGTGAAACCTGCCTCCCCATTCAAACCAACTAATTCCTTTCTTTTTGCTTACCCCATGCTTCTTCATCATCTCCCTGACTCTCTGCGCATTGTCCCATTGCTGTTGAGAGCAGTACGTATTGGACAGCAATACATAATCTCCACTTCTGAGGCGTGATATATGAGCAATGGCGACTTCACCCATTTTTGGGTTTTTGTGGGTTCTACAAGCACTGAGATATGCCCTCCAGACAATGACATCTGGCTCTATTGGCATTGATGTGATCACTGCATAAGCTTCCTCAAGAAGTCCAGCTCGACCCAAGAGGTCAACAAATGAACCGTAATGCTCATGCTGTGGCTCGATCGAGTACCGACTTTTCATCAAATTGAAGTAATGTCGGCCTTCCTTGACCAAACCAGAATGACTACAAGCGGACAGAACTCCGAGAAATGTTATAGCATCCGGAGTAATATCTTCGAAGTCCATCTTTGAGAACACTGCAATTGCATCCAGTGCGAAACCATGTATTGCTAAGCCATTGATCATTGAGTTCCAAATGGAAACATCATCCCGCTGAACCCTCTCGAATATACTTTTTGCAGCTTCTATTCCACCACATTTGGAATACATATCTATCATAGCTGCAACCAGGATGTAATTAACTTCAATTCTCATATCGATCATCAGCTGATGCAGCCACTGAGCCAAGGGAAGACTACCAAGCTTTGCACAACCAGGCATAACAGATGCAAAAGTGAACTTGTCCGGAACAACATTTGAAGTAAGCATCATTGTGAAGAGCCTCAAGGCTTCCTCAAAACGCCCATTATCAACGTAACCTCCAATCATGGAGTTCCAAGTCACCACATCTCGGTCAGGCATTTTATCGAACACCTTTCTGGCCAACTCTGAATCTCTGGATTTGATGAAGCTGTGAAGGGTCTTATTCAGAGCAACTAGATTCACAGTCCAATTAAAGACCTGGTCAACAACTTTATAAGCTAAATTGAGGCGGTCACAGTGGGCATACGCAGAAATCAATGAAGCCACGAGAGACGGGTGCGTTCCATACCCAAATCTTATGATTCTGGTGTGGGTTTCGGTAGCAGTTCTGATATCCGACGAGAGTTTGCAGGCCTCGAGTAGATGACGGAATATCTGGTGATCTGGGTTGATTGAATTACGCATTAATACAGCTAAAAGCTCAATCTTAGGCAAATTCAGTGCTACAGAAAAATGAAGGGAGGGAGAGCGAGGAAGTGACTGCGAAGCAGAGCAAACCTTTGCTAAGTTCATGGTGCCATGGAAGCGAAGTGGCAGAGCAGAATGGGTGACTTCTCTTGACGCCCATCTCAATCTGGGAGCCGATTCTCCGAGCTCCATGCCTCTGCATTCCCGTCCGTTCAGCTCTTTCTACGCCTGCCGAGCCGGGAAGTGGACCATCGGAAAAATGCTTTTTTTTCGAATTTTTCCTAATATCTATTCTGCAATTACAATTTACAAATGCCAACTTGAAAAACAAAATCGTGGCTAGGCCCACGAAAGACTATGGGCCTTTATTAGTTGAGCTGAAGGATTTTACAGGCTGGGCTGCCACTATCAGGACATGTCACGGACTGTATTGGAATTATTAGCACACGTGGCGACAAACAACATGCTGTTTGCCTTAGAGTTATGGCTATTAATGAGTCGAGTCGAACATAGATTTAGCTTGTTCAACTTTGGTTCGTTTATCAACGAGTTGAACTCGAGCTCGGCTTGTTTATGAATGAGTTGAGTCGAGAGTCGAACACGAGCCATGTTACACCCCAACTTTTGGGTTCATGTTTGACCATAACTGATAAAGGGTTGAATTAACCATTAGGTACGAAGGGTCGCAACCTTGGGTTAGGAATAATAATTATTATTATTATTATTTAAAATATGAAACAAGGGAATTTTAACCCTAATTAACCCCGCCCCAATCAGAAACCAGCGGAGAGTTAATCTTATTATTTTTCCTTCTGCCGCTCAATGCTATGATGGGAGAGAGAAAGAGAGAGCGGCGCGGCCTAGCGGCGATGACCTGGGAATGGCCGATATTAGAGCATAAGGAAGATTAAAGGGACAGGGACGATGATTTAATAGACTAGGCGACGAAGATGCCTACTCTAATTAGCTCCCTCGCCTGACCATACTGTTGGGGGAATGAGTATGGGCCAGAGGTCAACCCAAAAGGGAAGGCCCAAAGAAGATTGTTGGAGAGGCACAGACGTGGGCCATGCAGGGCCCAACCGGAGAAACCCAAAGAAGCCCATGGGGGGCAAGAGTCTTGGGCCGAAAGGCGCGTGGTGAAGGGCGCAAATGGCCAGGGTGGCGCTTGAGACAGGTGGGACCAGACACCTGGCAAGAGGCACATAGGACAAAAGATACCCAACGGTCGGGAGTGTACGAAAAGCTGGCAACATGATGTCATGCGCCTCAAACCCCTGACTAAAGTGTCAGGTGGTCGAGGCGCATGCGCGAGGGTTGTACGGCGTATTTATGGCAGGCCTGACACAAGGCGAGAGCGACGGATACCGTTCGATCTCGCACCGAGTATAAATAGTGAAGTAGGTAAACCTCATTTACTCAGTTTTTGCTTCTCTTACTAGAACTGTTCTCTACTTCTCTCTCTAAAAAGAAAGGTTCTCACTTGGGCGTCGGAGTGTTAACGGACCTAACTGGTCCTCAAGGTGCTTGTGCGTGCAGGCAGGATCTCGACAGGAAGCGTAGTAGAGATCGAGGCACGGAGCGGAAGGAAGGAGACTTCGGGGCATAAACAATTGGCGCGCCAGATAGGAGAATATAACCAACAAGGCGCATGGAGGTTCTTGGATCGGGAGAGAAAGAGGGCGACCCCTAACCTCAAGAGCATGGGACGGAAGGAACAAAGGAGGCGGAAGAGCATGACGGAAGGGGGAGTCTGATAGACCGTTAGTTACACATGTTTTCACCCCTGTTCTTACACCGTTTGAGAGGTGGTTTCTCGTGTTTTAGACCGATTTCACGCTAGGTTGTGCTTGTTTGTGATATTTCAGGTCCTAGTACGTGAATGAAGGCTTAGGAGCGAGTCTGGGGTCGATTGGACGAAGAACGGACGAATGGCGAGGTTTTTGGGGAGCTGCACGGGCAGACCAGGGAGGCTGCACGGCCGTGCACGTGAGCAATATGGCCGTGCGCCTTATGCCGAGGACACGCACGGGCAACCCCTGAAGCTCGCACGGCCGTGCGAGAGGGCTGAAGTTCGACTAAATGACACGCTGCGTTTTGAGTTGCACGGCCAGAATGGTGATATGCACGGCCGTGCACCCTGGCCGTGCGAGTCGGGATTTCCTGGTTTTAAGCCAAATTCCGAACCAAAGAAGAGGGGGAGCTGGGTTTTGGATCCCAAACACCCAAGGGACGAACCAAAGAGAGAGAGGGCGATTTGAGGGCATTCTTGGAGTGGAGTTGGAGGATTTCTTCGCCTTGGAAGCTCGAGGAACAAGCCCGGACTTGAAGACTGATCATCTGAAGATTCTTACTGCAGTCTCTCTCTTCTCTATGGAGTAACTTCCCTTCACTTAGGTTTTGAGGAACCCTAGCTATGTTTGTTTGATTGGATGATTGTATGAGTACTCTGACTTGATAATCTTGAGTTCATATTCAATCTATGCATGTTTTCATGATCCAATTCTGCTTTAGTCGAGATTATTGATTCCGCTTTGATCCTATGAGAGGGAATACCTGATTAGGTCAATAGAGCACCATAGATTGATAGTAGTGGATCGATTGCTTTAGTCGAGGGTTGATTCACTGCTTTGTATCGATTGAGAACCCCTTTCGATAGAGGGAGTCTAGTTCAGAACGCCTTGATCAGTTGTTCTAGAGAAGGATACGTCCCTCTAGGCAATTGACTCAAGAGGGCCTTGTTCCTTTAGTCGAGACTCAAGGTCTAGTCAAGGATTCTCCGCATTGTGAATGAAAGTGAAACAGGTTAGAGATCATCAATCATTAATCTGGCTAGTGGCTAGGGGGAATCATACCTAAGTGAGTTCCCAACCTGTAATTAGATTAACTTTAACTGTAGTTTGCTAGAGTAGTTTTAGTTCTTTCATCTTAATCTGATTTGCTAAATAATAAACTGAAGCTGAGTAATAGTAACTCTAGAGACCCGTGGATTCGATATTTATCACTTGAGCCACTATACTGAAGTCCCATTCATTGGTTACACTTGGCCTTTGTTAGGTGTTGTGTCATAGCGAGTCAAGTTTTTGGCGCCGTTGCCGGGGACTTTCTAGAGTATTAGGAAAGGCAGAAGTTTGTTACTTTAGCGTTTTTCTTTTCTTTTCTTTCCCACCCTTGCTTTTCACTTGGGTGTTTTTGTTTTTGTTGGTACAGATCTGAATCATGGATCCTAATGGCTTCTCCAATCATTGGGGGTATCCACCGCCATCTGGGTGGTATTACCCCGAGACTCCGTGGAGCAATCAAGGCGGAGAAGACTATGGATTCGGGTTCCAGTACCAACCCCCTTACTACGGAGAACAATCGGACCCCTGGGCATATCAAGAACAACCTCATTATCAAGAAGAATTTCTCCCACAACCAGAAGGGCCATCGGCACTGGAGTTACTCATGGAGCAGTATGCTCGAGACTGTGAGAGAACATGCTCCAGGATGGATCAGTGTGTCCAGGCCTATCGTGAAACAGATGAGATCCTCCTGAGCCTTAAGAAGAGCGTCGATGATCTTGAGCGATCTTGGGCGCAACCTGCTCCAGATCACCCTTCTGCTACCATACAAGAAGAGGAGGAAGAAGAAGAAGGCTACAAGGGCATTGTGGAACACACTGAAGTTGTCACGGAGAGCTTCCGTGATGATCATGATCAGGCCTGTCATGTCGTAGCCGACCACACCTTCCCACACCCCAAACTGAGCTTTGAAGAGGCGGGCATGAGTGAGGAGATGCAAGAAGATCTCATGAAAGAAATTGCTTGGCAACTTGCTCTCCAATCCGTGCTAGAAGAAGAAGAGCAAGAAAGGGTGCAGAAAGAAGTTGTGGAGGATGACGAAAGTGAAGCTGGAGGAGTTCTTGATCATTTCCCAGGGGTGATACCACATGAAGAAGGAAGGGAGGTTGAAGAAGCAATTGGCGTCCAGGCTGAGGACGGAGTTAAGGTGGAAGAGGCCTGCACCGGCCATGAGTTACATGTGATATCTCCACCAAACTTCGAGGAACTGCTTAGCAAGGACCCATTTGCAGTATCTCTTTGCCAGACCAAGGCCACCTCGACATCGGTCCCTCTTGGTGGACGCGATGGTGGCCAATCGATGTTGTCATATCTGGTTTGGGGCAATGAGACGAGAGAAGAGAAGGAGAGGTCTCGAGGGTGGAGACTTCATCTGCATCAAGTACATGAGCCTTCATCACCTGCCACACCACATGCTCGTGACTTGAGACTCCACCTCATCGACGAGAACATCAACTTCAAGGAGGTTCTAGCATGGACCGAAACTTAGGAGCCATCGTCCGGCTCACGACGTGAAAGAAGCGCTTGTTGGGAGGCAACCCAACCAGTCGGTTTGCATTTCTTTCTCTATTTCTCCTCGGTTGAGTCAGTTTTGTTATTTGATTTTAGAGTCAATAACTCAACCTTTGTGAGATTTTGTGTGGTGTTTGTGTTCTGATTACTCTCTCTTCCTGGACTGCACTGCCTGACCCGTACATCATCATTCACCCTTGATCTGGTAACTTCGTTCAACCCTCCTTATCTTTCCTCCATTGAGGAAAATGTCGTGCTTAAGTGTGGGGGGGGTGTTCGATTATGTATGCGGGTGAATGTTTGGCTGTTTGTGTGCTTGGAGCCTAGTCCACTGTCCAAATTTTTAAATTTGAGGGCTCCAAGTACGTGTTTCCTTGCAATTGCCTGCTCAGTATGCTTTGAATTGACAGTCTTTATAGTGATATGCAACCTAGGGAGGTAGTGTAGCACTATGGAGGATGTTGATACATTTAAGGAGTCTCATTTCTTCTTCATATTGTGTTGGTCGATTGAGTGAATTAGTGATCTTAGGACCCTTGAATTGTGTGGTGTTGTGGATTCTCTGCCTGTCATGGACTCTTGTATCATGTTTTGAGTTTAACAGGTGCTCGAAAATGTGCTTCAAAATAACGTCTCCCGTGCGAATAGGGCGAAAGTGTGTAAGGGGAGACGGGAATCCGTTCCCAATTTCCACCTACTACCTCCAGCCCCCTTACATGTCTTTCCCCCGCACGAGGCTCGAGACATCCGCTCCTGGCATGGCCGGTAAGAGCAGGTTGGGACCCTTGAAAAAGAAAAAAGAAAAGAAAAATAACAGAAAACAAGCAAAATAGAAAAAAAGGGGGTTCCAACCATCTTCAAGAATAAAATAGAGCACCTTGAAAAATGTGAGTCCATGATCTTTTGTTTTTGAGAATCTCTTCATCCACAATTCATTTGTCCTCTGTTCACTATTTGCCGTGATGCCGACTCGCCGAAGAAGTTATGAGATGACTTGTGCGTCGGTTGACCTCGTAAGTTGCTAAATGATCTAGGAAGTCCTCTACCTACGATCTGGGTTATTTGTTGCTATAGAGGTCTGGAGAGTTGCATTGGTTTGAGTTAGGTTTGCTTGGGGACAAGCAAACGGTTAAGTGTGGGGGAGTTTGATAGACCGTTAGTTACACATGTTTTCACCCCTGTTCTTACACCGTTTGAGAGGTGGTTTCTCGTGTTTTAGACCGATTTCACGCTAGGTTGTGCTTGTTTGTGATATTTCAGGTCCTAGTACATGAATGAAGGCTTAGGAGCGAGTCTGGGGTCGATTGGACGAAGAACGGACGAATGGCGAGGTTTTTGAGGAGCTGCACGGGCAGACCAGGGAGGCTGCACGGCCGTGCACGTGAGCAATATGGCCGTGCGCCTTATGCCGAGGACACGCACGGGCAACCCCTGAAGCTCGCACGGCCGTGCGAGAGGGCTGAAGTTCGACTAAATGACACGCTGCGTTTTGAGTTGCACAGCCAGAATGGTGATATGCACGGCCGTGCACCCTGGCCGTGCGAGTCGGGATTTCCTGGTTTTAAGCCAAATTCCGAACCAAAGAAGAGGGGGAGCTGGGTTTTGGATCCCAAACACCCAAGGGACGAACCAAAGAGAGAGAGGGCGATTTGAGGGCATTCTTGGAGTGGAGTTGGAGGATTTCTTTGCCTTGGAAGCTCGAGGAACAAGCCCGGACTTGAAGACTGATCATCTGAAGATTCTTACTGCAGTCTCTCTCTTCTCTATGGAGTAACTTCCCTTCACTTAGGTTTTGAGGAACCCTAGCTATGTTTGTTTGATTGGATGATTGTATGAGTACTCTGACTTGATAATCTTGAGTTCATATTCAATCTATGCATGTTTTCATGATCCAATTCTGCTTTAGTCGAGATTATTGATTCCGCTTTGATCCTATGAGAGGGAATACCTGATTAGGTCAATAGAGAACCATAGATTGATAGTAGTGGATCGATTGCTTTAGTCGAGGGTTGATTCACTGCTTTGTATCGATTGAGAACCCCTTTCGATAGAGGGAGTCTAGTTGAGAACGCCTTGATCAGTTGTTCTAGAGAAGGATACGTCCCTCTAGGCAATTGACTCAAGAGGGCCTTGTTCCTTTAGTCGAGACTCAAGGTCTAGTCAAGGATTCTCCGCATTGTGAATGAAAGTGAAACAGGTTAGAGATCATCAATCATTAATCTGGCTAGTGGCTAGGGGGAATCATACCTAAGTGAGTTCCCAACCTGTAATTAGATTAACTTTAACTGTAGTTTGCTAGAGTAGTTTTAGTTCTTTCATCTTAATCTGATTTGCTAAATAATAAACTGAAGCTGAGTAATAGTAACTCTAGAGACCCGTGGATTCGATATTTATCACTTGAGCCACTATACTGCAGTCCCTTTCATTGGTTACACTTGGCCTTTGTTAGGTGTTGTGTCATAGAGAGTCAGAGTCCGAGGGTCGAGGAGAGCGCATAGACATAGGGCGCCCCACTCACGAAGGAGGAGTTGCTTCAAATCATCGAGAGTCAAGATCACGCCCTTGAGATCCTGAAGAAGGAAGTCGAGGCGCTCAAGAAGGGTGGAGGAGACCTGTCCATGCCTGGGTCGAAGAGAAGGGAGCGAGATAAAGAGGGGGAAGGAGCTTCCAGCCACGCGAGGCTCACGGAAGAAATGGGGCACTTGACTCGACACCTGGAATCAGACTATGATGACTACAACGGTTGGGCGCAGAGGCGTGCCAGGAGAGGTTGGGGTGTTCGGCAGCCTTTGGCCAAGAGCATCCTTGCTGAGTAGCCAAGTTTGGTTATACCCGCCCTTCCAAGCTATGATGGCACGAAAAACTCGAAAGACCACCTGAACAATTACTTCACGAAGATACAGCTGTACAGCAGCACGGACGCCACAATGTGTCGTGTGTTCCCCTCCACGTTCACGGGAGTGGTGTTGGATTGGTACCACCAGCTGGAGGAAGGATAGATCGATTTCTTTGAGCACTTCGTTTCCCTTTTCCTGTCAAAATTCGCAAGCCGAAAGCTCAGGACCCTTACCATAAGCGCCTTGGTCAAGGTTTGCCAGAGAGAGAACGAGCCACTTTAGGGAGTTTTACGAGCGATGGATGTCGGTTGCCATGGCGGTGAAAGATGTCAAGCCCCCCGTCTAAGGATGTTGTCTGGACGAATGCACGACCAGTGAAGAGCTATGCCGGGCGC